TAAAATATGAAATTTACTTTTTCAAAAATGCATTTTTAAAATTTAATGTACTGTTTAAGTTTTAAAAAGGATACACTACGGGCCTGGCATCCAACTTTCATTTCTGTCTTACTATCTTATTCACAGTATTAATTATGACGAAATAATAATAGTAATGTAATGCAGTTCATATATGCATACTCGGGTTGTCTCACATTTTTTATGTGAGGACTAGATAACGCTATCCAGTAATATCCAAATCAAAGTGATTTCCTCACCTCGAATTTTTTGGTTTAGAGTCACGTATCTTTATGCATTTCTCATTCATGAATTCTAAACCTTGGTTTGAGAATAGTCACATGGATTAACACAATGAAAACAAACGTTTTAATAATACTTGAACCGTATTCAGGTCATAGTAATCAGGATTAACCAAAAGGATATTGATACAATACAGTCAAATGAATTGCGATGCTGTGCATTGGAATGCAAATGTAGAGGATTTGTATGGCACATCATCATACAGATTCACCGTCACTTGTACATAAAACTGTTCATAAATGTGAGTTTAGAATTAGTCATATGAAGAAGTACAAATCATATGGCACAACCAGAATGATAGCCATAGTCCTCCCGTGATTATGTATTTTCAGATCTAATTCAAATAAGTAGAAGCTTGGATGGTCTTGTCTCACGAATTCACCCCAGTTATCCTGTTCGACCTAAAAGTTTCGATCAACCGAATGTCTAAAAGACTTTCCTTTTAGTCATATCAAATCACTTCAAGTATCCTACCCACCACCTGTTTGTTCAACCTTTGTTTTACTGTTTGCTTATATTCAACCGGACACTGACTTCACGCCCTTAAAAAATGTTAGCACATTTTATTATGAAAATTATATTTTCAAGTGAAGACCAGACTTCATTTTTTTAAAGTCCTATAAACACTGTTACTACAAATTAGGACTAGTAATTTAAAGCAATTAGTCCGTTTTACAAGCTTCGGTAGAGCGATAAGAATGTGGAGTTGATCTGAAAAATGTAATGTATTTGTTCCATACATTTTAAACAATTTGGTCACATATATACTTGTCAAAGCATTTTGTATGAAAATTAATAAAGGTCAATTAAATGAAGGTCCAAGTAAACCAAGTAATATAAAGGAGAGAGAGAATTAACATTGTATAGAAAGAATAAGAAATTGTCATATTGTCCTAGGCCATAAGATGACTTAAGGATTACCCAAGTAAATTCAAGGTTACGACAAATTGTTTTTGTACATATAATCGGGTTTAAATTTACGAATAGCCAAGACTTCTACAAACCTAAGAATTCATCCTTGAGACTTATTATACAACGTTTTATAAGCTGTATTGATGTCAATTCTGTGCCCCTTTCAATTATATGTTTTGATATCGATGAACGTGGTCTTCTACTTCCCATGTTGGTGGAAACATTAACTAGATTGAAAGCCAACTAGGCTGTATCGACATCGTGGTAATGTTTCGTTTGACTATTTAACACTCTTGTTCTATAGTTATAATAATCGTTGTTCCCTCGATGGAAAGTATGCATCCACCTTTCAACTCAGTCTGCTACCATCTAAAAATTCTATCTAGGCATCTAGGGAATCAGCTGAACATTTTTGTGATTTTTATACGCTATATAATTCTAATTTATTGAACTTTAATATCACTGAAACCCGAATGTCTACCAGGAAATATCTATTTCGTGATACCTGTATTGAAGGTCATCGTTGTTGGCATTCATCACTAGTAGTTAGTCCATCAGTAATGATGAAAATAATAAAAGCTCAATCATTTATACTTAACACTTCAATATTGGTATCTTAGTTGTAGCCACATTAATGTTGCTTACAATAATCCTAACCTTTTAAAAACATTTTTAATAACCCCGAAATTATCTGCTGACTAACTCAATAGATAGTTTTTGTTGTAACATCTTACATTAGTATTAATAGTGCAAGTATCTCAAGGTCTATGGTAACGAAATAGATTTCATTGTTTTCACGCATAGGCTTTCTCAACTCTTAATGGGTTTAAAACATTTCGATTTAGTAATTTCAACTGATCTACGTGTTATTAAATTCTACGCATAGGACAACATACTACTTTACAAATGATGATTAGTTTAGTATGTTATTTTATTCAATTATAAGTTTACACTTTATAGGACACACATTTTGTTACATACAATAATTTGACAAATTTCATTAGCATTTTTATTTTCATGGTTTGTTTTAGCATTCACATGTTTACAATACGTGTATTCATATTCATCAAACAATTTTCTTATCGATAAATTCACTAATTTTGTTTACCCTAACTACATAAAACCGTAACATCTAGCTTATGTTGCGTAAGCTTAGGTTTGGTGCTAAATATAATGTATAAAAATATATTATACTTATTGATATTTTGTGTTAGCTAAATTTTTCACACTTGTATGAATATCATTTATAGATAAATAACATATTATTTGATTATGATTATCATCAAGAATCGTCAATGTTGTGTTAATCATGAAGGACTAGACACTTGTTCCACCTTAATCTGTGGTGCTATTGTAACCCCTGACTTGAGTACGTATCTAATACTCACTTTCAACTTTGACAAGATTATCGATAGACCAATTGATTTAATAAGATAAAACACATTAAACTATGTTAGCGTGGTGCATCTAAAAGTCAAGTGTGACTTTCAATATGTATGTTATTCATATCTATAAAGTTGTAGGTTCGTTATTTGAATAACTCAAGGTTACGTAAGTAAATGTTGATTTACAAACAGTCGGTTTTCTGTTAATTGTCAGTTTTAGTTGTGCTAATCAAGTCATACGATATATTCATCACTCTTTCATTTACCATTGTATTGTTAACTATTACTACTTCACTTTTAATTAACAATTACTTTCTGATCACTCCTTGAGCAGTGAACTGTGCTAATGCATTATTGTTTTTATAACAATATATTTATGTTTTACAACACAAATAAGTATTAACCCTAGTTTTCAGTGGTTCTTTCTATACCAGTCGATGTTAAAATAAATCTAACATTGACTAAATTAAGGGAATATCAAACAGATGTGCATTTCAGTAACCATTACTTTTAACAGGTACTTTCACTTATTTGAAAAGAGTGACTATACTTAGAGTTAGTTGGAATTACCTACAATTATTATCCGACCTTATTTTAGTTATTACTAGCCTTCTCACAACGAAATATATGAATAAAACCAAAATATTGTCATCAGTATAGGGTTACGGAGATTGTTGAATTTTTGAGATCATGAACCGGTCAACGTTAGACCACCATTGAAAACCTGGGAGCACTGGAAAGCCGTTTTGTTCTAGTACGGGACACCTCAACAGTGTGCATCCACGATCCTGCACATTGGACTCGAATTCATGACCCTCGATCTCGCGCGTGAACGTTCAACCTCTAGATCGTGGATGTGCATTGCTGAAGAGTTCCATACTAGGATGAAACGGTCGTCCAGTGCTCCCAAGTCCTCAATGGTATTCTAACATTAATCGGATCATGATCTCAAACATCGTTCTTTTCTTGATAAATATATTTTTATCAATCCTAAGATTTATTTAAATATGTTACTTGTTGTTTCTGAAGATTACTTTGTATCTTGAAATTATTTTCTCGTATATGGGGAAAGTATTTAATAAATCCATTCACCTAAATATGCTTTTAAGAAGATACTGGATAGTGTCTTTCGGAAAGCGATGTTGATGAATGGCTAATCAGTCAATGTTTAGTCATAGTTGAGCGTTTTTAAATTACTATCTGTAAACTTTAATACTCCATTTTAGTGTTTGAACTAGAATTATCTAATCTTTACCGGACCATCCTGAAATTGAATTATCAACGGTCTATAATCTACATTTGCTAAAGTTACTTCTCCAACTTTATACAACATTGTAGAATTTTTATTTTAATCATATGTTTTCTGTCAAGCAATTCATAGTCTATATAATTTTGAATTAAATATTTTGTATATAAATAACTTTTTATTCACTTCTTTTATATGGATGAATTAATTCAGTTGGTTAGTGATTTCGTCTTTTGAAATCTATTTACGTTTGATTTGACTATTCATCCCATGAAGAAATGATCATTTTGAACATTTCAATTTGTTTATTATTTTAGAGCAATAGTTGTGTTGTTTTTGTTGTTAGACTATTAAATTATTACTTATTTGAGTTGGATTCGTAACATAAATTAAAATGTTAAATAATGTATAGATTTATTAAATAGGTAGGGGAAAAGTCAATTAAAGTCAAAACTAAGAACAGATTCTCTGTTTCTGTATCTGTCAGTTATCAATCTGACCAATAGTATTATGGTGCGTGCTAATTATATTGACATTAGTAGTATATAACGCGAGTCAGGAATGTAATGTTTGGCAGCAGAAGATTGGGAAGATCAAGAAAGGAAGAACGAGAATAGAAAGCAATTAGTATAGAAATGCAAGAACTATGAAGTCCGATACAATTATTGAACATTTTTCAAATTAGGTATTATAGTATGGTTTTTCTATTTTACCAAGTAACTCTGTAATGTTGTGGTAAATATAATTCAGTTGTCCTCACCTGTGTTCTCCTTCACTACAGTATTAAGCGATAAAATAAATGAATGGAATTTCCAATAATAATTACGTCTAATACATAATTTAATAAAAGACAAGCAATATGCATTTCACTTAACCTGATTACAGATAAGAAAAGAATACCTGACCGTTCCTGCTACCCTGATGTGGTGGTCGGACTTGCCTATAGTAATGAACTGATCGAGTGCCTTCAGTAAAGTTGCTTTTAAACCTTTTTCTTTAAAACTGACCCCGTAGCTCATATTTTATGTACTGGTCATTGAAATAATTATCACTTTAACTATATTAGGGATTTATTCATTTTACTTATTTTTACTGTTTTTCCGAAGTAATTTACAATAAACGTATCATCGTTTTTTATTTCCAAAAAAATTAAATAGACCATTTGGTGTTACAGAATTTCAAATTTTGATTGATGTATGTTGGTAATTCAGATGAATGATAAGCAGTGTGTCGTACTTGGTTGTTCACTTATCATCCAAGCTTTTGGATTCTCATTGTTTGTGATGCCTTTTACTTCTGTCATTGTGTGTGGAAGTATATTCGGGTATATATAGGTCAACAGAAGTTACGGGTATTCATTTTAAATGTAAATAATATCAAGATGTGATGCTCAAAATAAAATCGCAGCAATAACGTTTCAAATACATCTCAACTATAAAGAAATATGGTAGTACGTAAACAAATATAATTGGTGCAATAAATTAATAATCTTTGTGGTTTCGCATGTACACCTACCTGAATTTGTTCTTACTTTTGGATAGATATTAATATTCCAGACATGTGACCAACATGTAGTTTTTTGTCTTCCTAGTAGTTTTACGCTTACCATAATTGATTGTGACCATCTATACATCTACGTTTCTTTTTAATGTCAACAATTCATGGTAAAAAAGGAACATATTATCTACAAATGATATGGAATGTATGAATAATGAGACCAGAGGATGAGGCTTGTAAAACTGAATTTATATGTAAAAGAAATCTAGGAAGATGGATGAACAACTAACAGGTGAGCAGGTCGAATTTTCGCGTTTCCCCATTAGATCGCCTCATTCTAATTTAAACTCGTTGAAATTGATAACATTTACTAATTTGTATTTTCTCGAATCGTATCTTCAATGCTTAGTCTATCTTACTACAACTGATACCATTACTACCTTTACTATTCTGGAATTTAGCCCCACAACTTCATTTCGCTATCCTTGCTTAGGTTTGGGCACCTGTGCAGTATCACAGCCTTCCCACAAATCAATGATAACTACTACTAGCCTCATTGTCATTGTTTTGCGCATATGTATTTGGTGCCCCCTTGTACTAATGTTTGTATTTAAATAAATAGTAAATAAATGAATCTCTCTGTGCTAACGGGCTATGGCAATTTGAATCAATGTACATATGTGCTAAGTTTTACATCATGACTGACTGACTATGATATGGCGCATAATCGCTTAAATGTGAATCTGTCTGTTTTTATTGTTGTTTAGTCAATAAGGATAAACATGCATTGTTCGTAATCTGTGTGTAAACACCTGCTCAACATGTGACTAAAGTAACTATTAATAAGCATCTTCGTGTATATCACATTCTTATGTTAGTCATTAAGAAGTCGTTTATCTGTGGTTTGCTCATTTCCCCCCTTTTTCCTTATTGATAATCTCTCTATGCAATACATCAAAAGAATTTTTTGATTGCGTTCATGGGCGTTTTGATCATTATTCATTTCCTATCTGAATGAATGAAAAAGAAAAGTGATCAAGAAAGTAATTGTTCAATGGTGTTTCTGGTTAATCATAACTTGTTAAATAAATTGATGATGGTTTCTATAATCATTTAATATAAATTAAGAAATCTTTAGGGATTATGGGTTTTAATTAGTGTTATCCCATGTGAAACAGTAGTGGCATTGTTTACCGGTAGAAATTTCATTCCAGCGCTACGTAACAAGTATCCGATCCTCTGTGATCAATATTTATTTGTGTAAAAAGAAATAAGATTAATAAATACAACTCATTAACTAAGGGCAGTTTCTTAAGATTCGGTTTTAAGCCTCATTTCGTTTTATGATGGTTAGTATAACGTGACCCTTATGATTCCATGTGGTTTTTTTCATCTGTCCCATTTGTAGTCCCTATTTATTATTTGTGGTTCATTGAAAGTTCAGAAATCACATCATAATTAAAAAGCTGTATTGTTCGCTCAGATACTTAATTCACTACTAATTTGTTTAAGTTTTAATACCAACTCTACTTACCACGTCTTCATTACCTGCTTGTGGCTAGGTTTAGATACCAAGCTTCTTGTAGCTTCTAAATCACACATTTGAATTTCACCAGTTGTATGAATAATAAATTTTCAGCGAAATTATCGATAAAATGATCACGAAAATAATATATCCTTTTGAAGATATCTTGGGTTATTTTTCCCCAAGATAACATATACAGCTTTACTTAATTACCACGTGTTTTTCGTATTATCAAAAATAATACCATTCTCTATTTAATTTACCTGACAAGTAAGTATTTAGCCATGCTGTGCTTTATTATTATTTTTTTATTCACAGCAGGGTGAAAACTCGAATTCAGTCCTCGTTTACTGTCCATAGTTCTTATAATCTGGTTGTTTATTTATAATTGTACTAGTTGACTTGTTTCTATGATTTAAATTTTCTATACTAGATAAATTACAGTATTTAGTAGTTGGCGAACTAGTTTTCCTGTCTCTCCGTGTTTGTGTTGGATTTTCTTTTAGTAGCGTTAGCACATAACCAATATAGTTTACACTGTCATACACTTTAAAAGTTTTTGTATCTATCAAGCAAGAGTCGTATTGAATAATATTGTCCGACCGGCCATTTTTTTTAAAAAAAAACCCCACCCCATAAAAAAAAATTTTCCACCCCAAAATTACAATATTTTTCATCCCGTGTTTCGTCCAATGAAATGGCTAGTTTCAAAAATTAGATTTAATTGGTTAGTTATGTCTTGAAAATTGTTATAAATTATCAGTACTTGTCGACGAAGCACAATCTCAATCGTCATTATGGAGCAGAGTAACGTGCCGAGTACAAGCGCTGGTGTTTCTCACGTAACGGAAATGGAGGAAGTCTTTTTGACTACCTTGTTTCTGGTTGCGTTTCCATCGGTTGAAGCGTTAAAGACCACTATCACAAATTTTGAAAGATCGACTTACAGTCATTATGTAGTGAGAGATTCGCATATTGGCAGAGATCAAAAATCCTACATTAAATTTGTGTGTTGGCGAAATGGGCGTATAAGATCTAGCGGTTCGTCACAACGTATTAGACGGAGGAGGTAATTTGGTAAATTGTTTTATAATTTTTTGAACGAAGGGCTTCTATGAACACCCAATGTCCAGCATTTATGTTTTGTAAGATTATAGACGGCTATTGGACTGTTGTACGTGGGAATGTACATCACAATCACGAGTGCAATTCCCTGAGGTACCAGGGTAATTCATGGGTGCGCAGGTTAACGGATGGGGAGTTTGAAACTGTGAGACCGCTGCTGATTTCCGGTACCGCTGCATTCCACATAAAGAATTTTGCTTACCAATCTTATGGCAAATGTCTGACCGCTCAAGATGTCTGCAATATGCGGTACAAAGTGTTCTCACACGCGAACCTTCCTGGTACGGAATTTGCCAATTTATAATGTACACTATAGGTGATTACGGGAAATTGAAAGCTCACATAACATCCTTGGGTGGGCTTTGCGAATACGAATTGGACGATGAGAACTGTCTATCGTATTTCTTCTTCATGACCGCTGAACAAATGAATTTGGCCGGTCACTTTTGTGACGTAATTGGTTTTGACGGGACGTACAAAACGAATAACGAGAACGTCCATTTATATCAAGTCGTTGCCCTGGATATGAATTTTAAAGCAATACCCATGTGCATTGCCTTTTTAAGTCGCGAAACGTCAACATTAATTTCTGCCTTCCTGCATTTTTTCCAACGGTGTACCAACAGTCGACAACTGGTAGGCATTGTGACCGATGATTCACCTGCAATTGCTGCTGCTATTACGCAGGTGTATCCGGATGCACACCATATTCTGTGTCGCGTACACCTTGTTCGGAATGTGATAAAGAGGGTAAGTGTTTCGTGGCGCCATTACAAACTAATAGTGACGACGTCCGACCGCGAGAACGAGTAAAGGCCCTTTTCAGGGCCACCCACAATTTGATTTCCATTATTTTTTATCTACTACTTTTCCGCGGCAAAGGTCAAGTGATTAAGCACCTGTTAATGTCTCATGAATTTAGATATCCCTTAGAGATTAATAATGGAAAAGCGATTGTCGCTCATGTATTCGTAAACTTGTTTCTAACGTTTATTAGATATAAAGGTTAAGAAAACTTAGACAAGATTTTGTCATCTAATAAAGACTAATCTAGTAATTTTATATTTAAAATAATGTGATTACCGTTCATGTTTTAGTAACACATTTGAAATCTATCTAATAATAGTACATTTTGAGTACATTTTAATGGGAATATTTTAAAATAGTGAAAATCGTAATGATGTCGTTAGGTCAATAAATTTATGATGACATTTATTAGTGAATATTATTACAAAGATGAATGTGATTAAAGCTCATAGAGAAGTAACCAAAATTGAGAAAATTAACTTATTTAGGAATAAAATAATGACATTAGAAAACAAGTTGAAACCATCATCGTTGAAATGATTCATGTGATAAAAGGTCATATAGTAAGTGTAAAAAGAAATGCGAATATTAGCTGTTTCATGAATACAAAAAACAAGAATTTCATATTCTTGTTTTATATTAAAAGTTCCTGAAACCAGAACTATGCGTACGTAAGAAGTACGTCTGATCGTAAACTAAGCCTCCATTGTTATTCATAACTACTGATTATATCACCGTATTCATTTGCACACCTCTTTAACTATTAATTACTGGTACAATCACATTGTACTAGTTAAAAATTCCCTTAAAATATTCAAAAATATAAAATAATTTAGCAAACAATCGTTTTCATTAACTTCATCATCACACTATACAGTTGTTAGTCCATAATTTTAATATTTTATAAAGTCCAAAAATAAGGCATGGCATTAATGAACTTGACAATGTAATGTGTTAACAATGGTTAACGTTTACATCTGTAACGATATATATGTTTACAAATTAAAAAGGTCATTCACTAAAGGTAGGGATGATTTGCAGTAAAGTGTTCAGTCACAATAAGTGACTAAGCATTATAAGAAAATTGAAAATGCAAAAAAATTGGTGTCAATGAAATACACAGTAGGAGAATTGAATCTTGTCAATTGACATAATAATAATAATAATAATAATAATAATAATAATAATAAGGAAATTAAATAATAATAACATTGTAAATGTTCATTGATACAGTTGACCTTATTCATATTTATACGTTTAAAGTCGATAGATATTTGTTGAGTCAGTCAGACGACGTAGGCTTGTTCATTTACACTTCATGAAACTGATATTTCAAATGCTTGTCAAAAATGGTTACATTCATAATGTCTAGATAATTCAGGTTTCATATTACGGCGGTTAACAATATTCACACATGACTGATTAAACACACACTAGTTTTTATTACAACCAAAAAATTAATTTTAAAATACAGAACTACAAATAATTTACAAGTGAAAATAATGAACCGTGTTTCAATGGATTTCCAAATTAACCGCATTGAAATCTAACGTTGTCTAATTCTCATTATGAATGACCATTTACAAAATAATCGTTTACTAAATATTAAGTGTCTATTTCGGAAAATTTATTACTACTTTCATATACTGTCTAAGTCAGTTCATTAAATGATGGTCTACGGTTGCTTCACCTGAATTATACATATTGCAACTACTAATTTATCATGATGATTTATTAATATGTTGATTTGTTTCTCGAACTAACAGACCATGTGTTACCAAAAAACCTATGCATACACTTTAGTGATAATTTGTTTATTAATTTGCTATTAAAGA